CACCTGGACCTGTTTCATATTTTAGTGCAATTCCTCTTGGCTCTAGTGCCCTTTACCTAATATGGAAACGACCTACTGAACCAAATGGGGTATTGACTGGATACAATATCTATTACAGTGAAGGTATGCTCCTTTATATCAGTGTGCTTATTACTTCTTTGCAGCGTATATTGTAAAAGAACTAATATTATTTTAGCCATGTCGTAATCTGTTATATTTGTTACAAAAAAAAAAAATTTGGTATGCAAATGATACCATTTTAGCCATGTCGTCATCTCAGCTTATTATGCCTGGTTTAGTCAAATAATTCTGTCATCTTCCTACATTCCCAGTTCTTCAGTGCTAAGGATGAATGATCTTGTACTGTCTACAAATTTTAAAAGCTTTCACAAATTCATAAACTGATACAAATACTTTTATAATTTTAATAAAAAGCTCTTATGTATTATATTTATTGCAAAGAAAATTTTTTGTGCTTTTTCTATGATTTAAAAAGGAAATTAAAGTGTTTTTATTCTTTATGATAATTTGTAGTATGGTATTTATTTTCTCTTTGTAGTGAGTGGAACACAAGTGGGCAACAGAACAGCAAGAAAACCTCAGATTACAGATCCTAGAGAAACCAGGGCAAAATTAGCTGGACTGAAACCAAAGACTACCTATCGTATAGAAATTTATGCTACTACTAAAAATGGAGAAGGTGAAAAATTATTCATTGAAACTCAGACTGGAGACCAAGCTGAGAGACGTTAGTATACATTATTAAATTTATCTTTTTGAGAACATTTCTAAAAAGCTAAATTCTGTAAAGACTTTTTTATGTGTTGCGCATTTTAAATAGTTAAAATCATAGTTGATTATTGGAGAGATTGCAAATATATGAATATTATGTTGTTGCCTTAATGCCTTCATTAATTATTATTCAGTGTGCTATTTTAACTCAGATCATAGTTGATATTTGTAGTTTTATGCATTTTTTCTCTTTTTAATTGATGCATCATATTTTCTCTTATTTATGTACTTCTCTTTTTTATAAATATTATATTCTCTATGTTATATATGGTGACTCGTCAAATATAAATAAATCAGTGTTTATTTATAAGATTAAACTAGATTACTTATACATAAGAGAGATATTGATGCTACATAGTTGGCGGCAAGTGACAAGAGTGACGCAGCACAATTACCATGCACTTGCCAAGCTACAGTAAAGTTAGAGGCACTGCCATCTCTCGGCTAGCACAGTAACAAATATCTAACATGCCTTTTTTATATATAGAACAAGACTAGTGCATGTTACTAAATTAGTACAATAATAATTTTACTTACTTAGCAGTTAACTTAAGAAAACATTTTGGCATTAGAATTATTACTTAACAGTTGACTTTAGAGAACTTAGCAAAATTACATACCTTGAATGCAATACCAGAGAATGACTCACTTAAATCTTTAAAATTATGATTTAGTAATTAAACTGATATTTTAGAGTTCTGAACAGTTCATTAAATTCCATTATTAGTCTATAAAGTATAATTTTATAGCATCAGTAAGTTCTTCCTAATTGTCTCTATATCGAAGAGGTTTTATTCTATTTCTGCTTGATTGTCTTAACACTGGTTCAGTTGACACATTTCCTGGAATTTAAGAATGTTTAGTAGAATTATTTTCCTGTTCCTTAGGTGGATTCTACTTATAATCATCTATATGAACAGGTTGATCCAGTGTTGATTGATTAAGTCCAAAAAAGTCTTCTGCTGTTCTATTCCGCTCTTTAGTTTTACACATAGACTTGTCTTTACGAATGTGATGTCGGTTTCTCCTATACACAGTTCCATCATTCGCTTTTATGACACAAGATCGTGGGTGAGGACCTGTCTTCATGTCATACCTGTTTCCAAGGCTCTTTAATTTTCCATTTAACCACACTTTATCATTTTCATGAATTTTGGAAGCTGGTTGTGTTTATTGGGATATTTCTTTTGTAGCATCTGCCTTTTTTCTAAGATTTTGCTTGCACCTTTTATTTGAAATTTTGGTTGCAGTGCTTTAGGATGTGATGGCAGAAAAGATCTGTGTCTTCTTCCCATTAATAATTCAGCCGGGGATGGCAAATCTTTTGCAGGTTGAATTCTATAATCTAGCGGAACAATATACAAGTATTTTTCTTCTTCTGCAGCTTTGCTCAGAGACTTCTTGAGAGTTAGGACAGATCTTTCAATTTGTCCATTAGCTCTAGGAAAATGTGGTGATGTGATGTTATGCAGAACACCTCATTCTTCAAAAAACTTTTGTAGTGCTTCCGAGTTGTATGGTGGTCCACCGTCAGTGATAAGCTTCTCTGGTATTCCATGTGTTGCAGATATGGACTTCATAACTGTCATTTCAGCTTGAGCTTGAGCTTTTAAGTAGTTTCAGCTCTACATATTTTGAAAAGTAATCTATCATTAACAGATATTGTTGTCCTTTCAGGTAAAAGAAATCACAGGCAACTTTTTTGCCAGGGTCTCTCCGGTAGATCATAGTCTAAAAGAATTTCTTTCTGATTAGCCTGTTGATATTTCTGACATATTGCACATTTGGAAACATATTCTTCTACATCTTTGTTGATGTTAGTCCACTAAAAGTATTCTCTAGCTTTACTAGAAACTGTACCTTTGGGAGACACATTCAGTTTTTTCATAATTTCTTTCCTAAGAGATGCTGGCACAACTAGTTGTTGTCCTCGACAAATTATTCCATCCTTTGTCATATAAAGCTCTTCTTTGCAATACCAGTAAGGTTGTGATGCGGGCCTTGTTTTGCTTCTTTCTGGCCATCCATTTTTTTTATGTGAAATAACACATCTTGCAATTCAGGGTCCTTTTCTGTCATTTTTACGATTTCCTGCCATTTTGTTGGAGAAGCTTGTGTTGATAGACTTACATTAACAGTAGGTTCTTGGCTAAAGGTGTCAACAGTTGACTGGGCTCAGCTATTAGCAATTCTTTTCCTAGGACATATTCCAATTTCAAATCATACCTGTTCAGTTTGAGGAACAATGCGCTGAAGACGAAGTGAGATGGTATCATAAGGTTTCTTACTAAGGCCTAGTAATGGTTTGTAATCAGTTTGCATTGTTACATGTCTTCCATACGTATAGTAGTTGAAATGTTCTAACCCATATACAACTGCTAAGAGTTCTTTTTCAATTTGCGCATACCTTTGCTGCGTTTCTGTCAATGATGCTGAAAACTTTCACAATTTTTTTTTAATTATAAAAAACTTTATTTCTTTTTAAGTTCACTTTTTCCAATAATGATTTTTTTAACAAAAATTAATAACTAATTTCTTAACCAAGTTAATTCTTTATTAATACAGCTATCAGTGTTCTATTGATTTGAATTTCTTAATTTCTTCTTATTCGTTGATATTTTGGAACCTAGAATTTAAATAAAATGCTACAGTTATAGAAAGGAAAGAATTTAAGAAAAATGTAAATCTGAGCACAAGATTCATCTGATCCTTAGTGTTTTTTTTGGGGGGGAGGGGCGGAGCAATATTGTTGAATTCTTTACAGATATATTCAAGATATTAATAAATTAGCATGTACTAATGATGTGGATATTAGTAGGAACATTCATTTATTTAAGCAAACAAACATCGAAAAGTATTTAAAGAAAATGGAATAGATTGAAATAAGTTAAAAAAATCATAAAAATTTAAGACTAAAAAGACGTAAATATTTTGTAGTGTCTTCAATGTTTTTTTAAATCTTTTAATGTGTAATTGCAAGTTACTTCAAACTGCAAAATTTCGTAAAATTTTAATATTAATGGTGCTTTTTCAATAAATGTATTTAAAAAATAAAAGAGATTTTTTAGAAATGATAATGTGCTTTAAAAAGATATGATTGTTCAAGTATAAGCTATAAATTTTTGGAGGAATTATTTCTCTAATTTAATGTTAATTTTTTGATAACTTTTAAGAATTTAGTTGTATTCTCAAATTCATTTTATGAATATGTTAAATATGACATAGCTGTCAACTCTTCTGTTTTTACCAGGAAAACTGGATTTTCATTGTATCTCCTGGTAAATTATCAAATTCCCCAAATTTTAATTTTCACCCTTATTGAGGAAAATATTTCCCCTCAGTTTATGAATCTTAAATTGTGCAAGTTCCATTTCCTCTCCTCTTGTCATTTTCAACACAAATTTTATCTGATTTATCTTCTGAAGACATTAGTATAACTTTTCATGAAGATTTAATCAATGTTTAATTAGTTAATATTTGTAATTAATTTTGTTTTGCATCGATAAGTGCATTTTGTTTAGAATAAGTACATTTTTGTGCATTTCATTTTACATCAATAAATGGTTTTGTATGTATAAAAATAGCTGTCCTTAAAATAGTATGTGCATTAATTTTTATTTTCAGTGTATTAAGTACTTAAAGTATTAAGTACTCAAATAAAAGCTTTCCTTTCATATTCAGGATTTTCTCATTGTAAAAGTGTAATGTAGTTACAAATTGAAATTAGCTAAATAACATAGAATACCTAATTAAGTATTACTACATTTTACATCAGAATCACAGTGAATTTAAGTTAATGTGGAGTTCTTTTGAAATGGTGTCACCATGCAGTGCAAGAAACCCCTGGAAACTATGAGTTTTTGCACAAGTATCACCCAGTTTTTCAAATTTCAAGGTGGCAACTGTGATATTATATTGTTTGTACATATCTCTATTTTATTAACAGAGTGCTATAACAAGACTGAATCCAGTTACACAGATAATTACTTTAGTTCTCCTATGCTGATAAGTTCTTAATATTTATGTACAGAAATTTCCACAAAACCTGAAACAAAATGAGTTGTTTCATTCGCATTGAGTGAATGAAATATCTGTTAAAAATCTAGATTTTCATATTGTGTGTAAGTGCTGTACATTCAATATAAATCAATGAAACCTTCAATTTTATATCTGTTTACAGCACCAGATGAGCCATATTTTGTATGGTCACATTTGCCAGATGTAGATGGAAAAGCTGGAGTTCGTGTTACATGGGTACCTGCTGGAGAAGGCCATCCAGGAAGCCATTTCTATGTACGATATAGGAAGAAAGGTTAGTTATATGCATTATTACTTCCTTGTATGAAGTAAGGAAGTATTGTTATCACGAAAAATTCCGTGTGTCATATTTCAATGAAAATATCTATTTTGACCGCTATTGAATGCAATTTAAAGATGTTTTTGCATGACATCTGTACATAAGGACAGAATAAAGGACTCTTTTTACATCCTTGTACGAAGTAAAAAGGAAGTATTGTAATCAGGAAAAGTTTCAAGTATCATATTTTAATGCAAATATCCATTTTCCCTTTTATGTTGAAATCAGCCACACCAAAAGTATATACCCCACTCTGTTACTCAGCTCCGTGAGCTCAATTTTTTTTATTCATCGCATTTTTTTTTTTTGCTTTAAAAAAATTATTGAATTATGTTGTTCTTATTTTCTGGTTAAGGTTTTATTCCTTTAGTTACTCTGAATGCAATAATTGCAGAATTATCAACAATTTAAAAGTTGTTTAAGTGCGGCTAAACCTAATTTTTCTTACCATGGCAGCCATATTTGTTTGCATTTGAAACTTAGTAGAATAGTGAAAGTCTTCTGCACCTTCAGTGTCTTTTTGCTGAGTGGGACCAAAAGGAAACTTAGTTTTGTGCACTGTAAAATCTGCTTTCTTGCCTGCTGGACGAACTGCTTGTTTTTGCACAGGAACTCTAATTTTAATTGTAAATTTTTTGTTTAATTGTTTTAACTGTATTTGGTGTTTTGTATTTTTGTGTCTTTCAACTTTTAATGAGGATATTTTGAGATTGTATGTATTTTTGCCTTGCTGCGAAGTTAGAACTGAATTAATTGAGGGAGAAATATATCTCTAATAAAATTTGAGGAAAGAAGTGTTTCATATTAGCAGCAAATATTGTCGCCAGTCTGTCTCAGAGAGTAGAATATTTACGAGTAGCGCATGGGCATTAGGTAAGAGGCGCTGAATGTGTGAAACAATTTCTTTTTTATTTGTTTAATTTTTATACATTGTTTTAAATTTATTATAGTATTTGAATAGAACATCTAGCAATTATTAGATCTTTAGATGATATAATTTTTGTGCATTCTGAGTTATAAAATGAATGAGACTTAATGCTGTTAAGTGAACCTAGCACCAGAGTGTCGCTATGGTAAATAAATATAATGAATTTTAAAGAGGGTGCAATAGATTGTGGTTGATGTGCTACCTACGAAGTAGATTTAATTCAGTTCAATAAGTTAAATGAAATACAGGAAAAAATGCATGTAATTTAATATTCCATACAAGGAAGTCATGTTGTACACACCAGATTTGTTTATAATTTTAAAGTACTTATTTGCATGTTAATTTGCAGTATTCTATAGCTTAGTGAAAAATGTAGGGAGTGATTTCCAATCACTTGTTGCAACATGAAAAGGGCCATTGTACATTTTTTCTTAAAGCAGTTTCATAAAAATATTTAAAAGATCTAATTAGCAATTACATTGAATTTTTTATTTGTTGTTATAAAATTAACAGAGCGATGGCTAATTGAATTTTTGGACTTTATTAACAAAAGAAGTAAAGAGAACTTACATACATCTTATTGTTTACATGAAAACTTTTAAAATAACGAAAATAGTAGTGATGCCAGATGCATAAAACATAATAAAACAATAAAATAATTATGCCATTGAAACTGCACATAATATCAATTAAGTGCTCGATTCTCAACAGTTGCTAATTAGCCAGGCAACATTCCAAATTTGTATGAATGATTTTTGTTTTATAACTATGCTGTACCTGAAATATAAAGCCGAAAATCTTTCACTGTATTAGTTGAATCACCCAAAATATTAGTCCAGAATTAGCAAATTTCAAGCATTTTTAATGGAATGTAAGAAATTTGGAGACTGGCTCAACTGTGCTACAGCAAAATAAATGTCTTTGATATTCTTATCATTTTAACATGAATTCTAGAAACTTTATCTAGAGTATATATATCAAGTGCTAATTTATAAATCAAAAATTGTAAATTTAAAAAAAAAACTTTCTGACAAGTCTTAAAGTTTTAATTATTTTTAGTCCTATTAATTATTAATAATATTTATTACATATAATAAATATTATTTTTCATATAAGGTTCTGTAAAGTGTTTGCTGGTAGAATAGGTTCACTCTACTTCCACCTGGAAGAATTTTAAATTTTTTTATTGTGTAAAGTTGTTATAATATTTAGGCTGTCTTCAAAAATAATAAAAATAAAAAATTAATGGCTTCATATTTTTTGCTTGTCTGTTGATTGCTGTATGAAATTAGTCATATCAGATATGTTTTAAAATTTAAACTGATATATTGTTATAAATTTTATTTTTGAACTAAACATTAAAATAATTAGTATTCTAGTTTAATGTATAATTTCGAGAACCTATTAAAACACTGCAGATTATCTTAGGTGAACTATTTTATTGTAATTATTATAATAAATTTCACTTTTCATACTTGTTTTGAAGTTATTTGTTTGTCAGGTGTTAGCAATTCTCCCCCCTCCTTTCTTCTTCTTCTCGCTCTTTTTTTTTTTTAATTAAAAATAGGACTCCATTTTTGTGCATAACATTAAGAATAGTATTAATATAGCTTTTGTTGCATTGGTCCCTGGTATTAATTAGAATGTATTAATCAAAATGAAACATCGTAAAATCATCAGAATATATTTTGATTCACAAATCATGTATGTTGCAGTAAAGTGTGAAATCTGAGATTTTCAATTTATATGTACCATTCGTGAAAAAAAAAGAAGCATAGAAATTTATATGTAAATGTATGTAATTCTTATTTCGTTCTTTCAAATGAAAATTTAATAATTTATTAATCAATTAATACAAAAATATATTTCTTATTTTGTGTCCATTTACTTTCTGTCTGTATTCATGAAAAAGTGATAGGATTCCAACCTGTCTCCTGTACCGAATTTTTTCACCTATCGTTTAAATTTATTACAATAGCTCTTTTTCTGGGATAGTTCTTATTTTTTTTAATAGCTCCATTAAATGCCTTGTCACAATCTTGTCAGCATTTTTTAACATTAACTAAAGATGATATAATTTATGATAACAAATAGATTAATGCTTTCTTAGATAATGATTATAGATTCAATATCAGATTCTGGTAATGTTGATATTATCAAATATTTGGGAAGGGCTTAGCAGTCCAATTTATTCTATTGCATATGATACAGTAAAAGCTCGACTATCTGGCACTCAACTAACTGAAAGCTGAAGCAAACAGAATTCTTTAGAATTTCAGAAAATTTTTCGAATGAAAATCAAACAAATAAGAGACTTGCAAAGCCATTGTAAAGCAAGTGTTATATGGCTGTCACTTGGAATCCCAGATAAAGTCTAAAATGGGAATACAGATGCAGTGTTGCTATCTTATAGAAGATGTTAAATTGCCCTTCACTCTGTTAAATCCTTATATTGGTCTGAGAGTTTGTCCTTTGACCTGGATAATCAAAGAGAAGAAAAAAATCTTATAATGTGGTTCAAAGAATCTAAAAGTTTTTCAAAGGGATTTATGATTTTTGCTGATTTTTGATATAATGACAAATAAAAATTAGAGAGAGTGTAGAAAACTACCGACAGTGCTATTATCAATCAGTAGAACTGCGTCAAGACAGAGCAAGCAGCCAAATGTCAAAACCCACTGTTAATTTCCCTGGATAAAGGAAAAGAACTTTGTATCAAGGCCGTGTCCTTCACTCGTATCCCTACTAAATCTTCTGATGTATCACCCACGCATGTTAGAGCTTTTGAACTTTGGAAAGATTTTCAAGAGGAATGGGATAAAATACCTCTTTCGATGCTAAAAAAGATTTTATTTGTCTTGGAAATTACGATTTAAAAAAAAAAAAAAAAGTGAAAAATAAGGGTGTCAAATAGAACATTTAAAACATCAAAATTTTAGATAAAATATTTCTGTCAGTATGATGAAAATCATCTAAAAAGTGTGCGAACAGCCTCTATAGAAAGGGATGGCAGAAAACTTTATTTTCAGTTTGAGTCTGTTCAGGTTCCTTTGTTGAAAAAGTTCTTAAAGTTGTAGAATAAGGCTTAACAAAAATATTTAAAAGCCAAGTATAAATTGAGGTGAAGAATATTTTTTTAAGCTAGGAACATCTGAAATAAATGAATGGATTGATAGCATTAAAAATTTGTAACAAAAAAAAAATCACCAGAAATATTAACATAGGATTATTTAATTAAAAATGAAGAAGAAAAGTTTTTTGAAGAAAACTTTCTACATACTGAGCAAAAAGTTTCAGAGTTATCAACTTTTCTTCAGAGTTTCAACAACAACTTCAGAGTTATATGCTTTTCATTAGAGAAAAATGTTAAGTGCTGAACTTTCATTGAAATGGATAGGCATATGGATTTATTCAGTCTAATGTCAGCTACATCAAAGCAATATTAATGCATCAAAGTTTTAAACATTCTATTTATTGTAAAACATCTAAAATAAAAGTATTTCTGAGTTCTATTAAATGCAAATTTTGAGCAAATTTCTTTCATTTATTTTAAAAATTTTCATAATCAGATAAAATGCTTTCACAACATTCACATGTTTAAAGCATATGGAAATATATCAACATTTTATGTGTGAAAAACATTTTTTTCTTCAAGGTTTTGCATAATTTTGCATGTAGATTTTTGGTATTCGATATGATAATAATATGCTAAACGTTTTTATAACTTTAGATTTCTTACCTTCATTTGGATTTTCTGCCATGAAGTGCCATGAATCTGCCATGAATTTTTGTATGTTCAATTATCCTGAATTTTCAAGTATCTGGCTTTCAGCATTTTCCAAGCTTTCTGGATAGTTGAGTTTTTACTGTACTTTGTTATATCATATATCATCAAAGTAACTGCAGCTTTTCATTATCAATAGTGTGCTAATTCCTCTATTTAACTGAATATGTTAAGAAACGTATAAAATTTCTTTAAGAAACGTATAAAGTTTCTAAGATAAATTTCTAGTGTATCTCTTCATAGAAGTTATCTTCATTTCCTTGGGGGAAAGGAAATGAAGATAACTTCTATGAAGAAATTTTAACGGTGAAAACATATTTTTAACTATTCCGTTATTGTTTTTGTTATTTTTATTGTATGTATGTTAAAGAAGAAAAATTGTTTCAGGAGCAACTTCATGGGAAAGTACTCAGCCTGAAGAAAATCAAGATTCAATTATTGTAACTGGTTTAGAATTAGGTTCTCTCTATGAAATGAAAGTTGTTGCAGTGGATGGGCGGTTTCAAACATCCAGCAAAGTTGAAGAATTTGAAACTGGTGGAATGGGTATGACACTAATGTTTTATCTGCTAAAATTATATTTATTTATTTATTTATCTATTTCTATATGTTTCTAAACTTCTACAGTTTTTAAAAATTTCGTATTAAAAGAACATTTACAACTGTTTGTTTAGAACTGTAATCCTGATAGAAATTGAGTCTATTTTGCTTTCTGTTTTCTTGCAGATGCTTTCAAGATTTCATTAAAAGCATATTTATACTAATCCATGTTTTTTTGGGGGGGGATAAATATTAAATTTCTTATTATAAAGGCAGCAAAACATGCCCTAATCATCCCTCATGCATAACAATAGATAATAGGTGCAATTCGGCTTTTGTCATATAATGATTTGTGTGTCAGACCCAAATATACTAGATTTTGAAATTTCTGAAAAATATTGTTCTAGTGTAATAAAACTATACTTACTATAGATTTTCTGAACACAGGGATATTTTCCTTGTCTTCATTCTGACAAAGAATTTCCATATTGCTGATCTCTCATTGTATCCATGTGCCCTGACTATATCCATGAAACTTTTTAAAGCCTCATGGTTAACTTTTATGGCAGACTCATTTTCTAAATCTAATGAACGCTTTACAATATTAATTTTGGGGTCTCATTTGATTTATTGTAAAATAAATCTGCGATCCTTGGTACTAGCTTGGAATGTGGTCTAGACTCCAGTGCATTTTCAACAGGTCAATACAATTTTAATCATTTTATAACAACAAAGATAGTTTTTCGCATCAAGGGTTTTTTGGATTGTAACAGAACTTGTCATTAATTTTTAGCGCCTTGGCATGCTTATTTCATATGTAGAACTGTTAGTAATGATGCTAATTTTGCTAAATAAGTAATGATTTCCAAATGCAATTGTTAATTCTAGTGCCTTAACTTACGTACAACAAAAATTATAACCAAAAACATGGTCCACCAAAACATTGTTCAAAATATTATGTGAGTTATTGATTAACACTTTTTGAAAAAAATTTTATTACGAGGAATATTTTCATGATATTTATTTTATAACAAGGAAGGCTTATTAGAAAAGATCTGAAGTTTATTTTTCAGTATTTAGTACAAGATCTATGTATTAAATATTTCAAATAATTTCAAAAATACAAGATAAATGTGAGCCACTGTCATGTAGAATTAAGGTAGTAGTTTATTACCATATAAATGTTTGATATTTAATGACAGAGAAGTCTGTTTATTTCATTTGCAAAATTATGATTAAAATTTTCTATTGCATCTTCAGGGATTTATCATAATGCTTGTCAACAAGGATATCAGGATCTGTAACATATGTGTGGTGAAACACTTTTAAATGATTATATGTCATCAGAAACATGTAATATTGGACTGATGTACGACATTGGTGCTAATAATCACATATTTCACATATCAAAATTGTGATACTGCAAGGAATATCAGCATCTAAATAATAACATGTTTCTTTCTCCTGCGAAGTTCAAGACTTAATCCACTGAGGCTACAAAAAACAGAGCATTGTCAAGTGCTGTCACTGGATGCAAAATGTCTGAAAACTTGTAGTCTGTCTGACAATTTAAGAAACTTATTTTAGATATAAATCACATTTAATACTATTTGTTTAAAATTTTTGAAGACGTGGGTAATATACTAATAATTTTAAGACTATGTCGGGCATAAAGGAATAGTATCTAAATTCATTCAAAATAATATCATGAGAAATGCTTAGAAAGAACTCTTTTTAATTAGTAGAACATTTTGTTCTTTTGTTTCAGACAAGAAAAGTGTTACTTGATGCATTTTACTGTGGATGTAATTTTGGTAATACTTCTTTTTTAGCTGCAGTTCAAGCTCCTGAATCAAGTGAAAACTTTGCGACAGCTGCATGGTTCATTGGTATGATGTGTGCTATTGCTTTGCTGTTGCTTTTGTTAATCATTATTTGTCTCATCAAAAGAAACAGAGGAGGAAAATACTCAGTACATGAAAAAGAAGCTGCTCAAGGTCGAGATTTAGAGTATCCCGAGGATGGGGGTTTTAATGAATACACAAAGCCGTGAGTTGAAATTTTTAATTTGATCATTGTTATAAATTTGGGGTTATTATTATTATTATTATTAGTAGTAGTAGTATTAGTAGTATGAAACTGGAAGAAACTGAGAAAGTTATCACTCATTTAGTTAGTAATGATTAGTAAGTTATACCTTGTATGAAAGAGTGTAAGAAAAGCTTGAAAAAAGTACTTTAATGTATCATGACTGAATTACATACACCATAATCATATCATTGCCACAATATAGAGTACAGTCAAAAGTCTTAAATCCGGAATGATCTATAATCTCGACATGCATTTCCGCATGCACATATGCGTTTATGCATGCGCGTTTAATGTATAACCGACGTTATAGGCTAAGCTAAAATTATCTAATTATCTATTTCAGTTAATGTTGCAGATTGTGTTGTTCCTTAATCTTCGAATTGGATCCGGCTTATTATTTTTTGCAGACTGTTAGAGCAATTTTTTTAAAAGTAAGCTTGAACTTTCGTTATGTCAAATAGAATTTCAATTCTGGAGCTGCCAAAGATCTACAAAGTGAAAGCATTTCGATGTCCATTAACAAAAAGTGGAATTGCTTGCTGCAAAAAAATGGATAAAGGCATTAAAAAGTGACAGAGAGGTAGGTGATTTGTTTCTCTAACCATTCCGAAATTTGTTATCAATTTTGCTTGCTTTGGGGATGTCCGCGCAATGACTGAAGTTGAAGCACAATCCTCATCTTCAGGGCAATGTTTTTTATTTTATTCTTAAACTCCTTTCATCTCGATGTACTCCAATATGATTTAAATCATTTTCCTCGTCATTAAATATCACAAACGCATAAATAGTTTTGGTTGCAATTTTCTAATTTCGACATGCGTATGTATGCTTTACGCATGCGCTCGTTGAAAAAAGGTTTTAAAAAACAAATAAATATTAAGTTTTTTTTTTTTTTTTGGTGTGTGTGTGTGTGTGTGTGTGTGTAAATTTTGATTTCCTTTTAGATCACAATTTTTAATTGTATAATTTTTGCATGCCATCTCACCAGATTTATACTGATGATCGATAATCCGGAATCGCTGAAGTCCCGAAGAGTCTGGATTAAAGACTTTTGACTGTATACTATTTTCATCTAGTCTAACATATTGCATGTAAAACACTATTTCAAAGCATTTTATTGCATTTAATAGTATATCAATACTCTTTGCATTGTGAAATGTAATATAAATTACAAATAACCTGTTTTAATGCATGATGTGTTACTTAATGGGCTGTTATTTTCTGTTGATGTCTTTCTACATCTTTATTATAATTTACTGTGAGCTGTTTACGAAGTTCAATTTGTCCAAGAAACAAAGTAATCATGAGTTTTTATATTCAGTTTTTTATCATGTGATGAAACATGACAGTCTAAACTAGAATGATTCTCTTTTCCTACCATAATCCTGACCACGAGGCAGAAATATGTTAAAGTGATTTGATATTTCATTGTTTTTACAAAGCACTTACGGAAAGTGTGATTTTTATTATTCTGTATCCAGTTAAAATATGTATGGTACTCTGCAGTTATAAATTGCTGCATAGGATTAAACAAAATGCCAGGCTCCTTTACTCTTATGCATATGAAAGAAATTATACTATAAATTGCAAACCTAAAAATTATAATTACTTTAATTTAATATTTTTAATGTCCCACTGCATAAATTATTAATTATATTTGTGGTCTATTGCATAAATATTGCATGGTAAATGGTATTTAGTATTATCTGTGATTTGATATAACCATGGTAGTTTTGAAAATATATTATGTGCAAATATGGAGACAAATTGTTATTTCATTCCCTGCAGTTAACAGTGTATGCAAGAATTAAAATCGCCTATGCAGTTTTATAAAAATGACTTTTTGGAAGCTACTTCTTCAAAACAGCATGCATGCATAGCTTATAAGGAATATAGATCACAGTCAGGAGCATTTACTGGCATTGCAGTTTAGTCTGATTTTTATTCATTAAAATTCTGCTTTTATTGAAAAGCATGTTCAGCCATACCTTGAAAGTATGTCTGATATTGTACTCTAAAGTGTCCTCTAGAATGTGTTATCCTTTGAGGGGTAGGTTAAAAAGTCGGTGTTTCTACTTCATGTGTATGAAGAAGCATATATTGTAAATAAATGTACAAAGTAGGATACCTTTCATTATTACATTATGTAATGTTGGTAATGTCTTACTATGCACAATTTAATGATGAAATTTTGCCATACATATGTATGTTAGCTGTAATCATACAGTGTTCAGTATTATCTTCAACTTATTACATAGAGTCAGTACTGTATTAGTGTCATTTAAATCAGTTTGAATGATAATTATGTTTTCTGTTTAGAGCTGAAGCACAACCACCCATCCGTGGTAGCAGAACTTCCCTCAACAGTAGTGTAAAGGGTCCAGAAAGTGAAACTGATAGCATGGTTGAATACGGTGAAGGTGAAGCCAGTAAGTTCACTGAAGATGGATCGTTTATTGGCCAGTATGGTGCAAAAAAGAAGAAAGAAGATTCTACTTCTCCCTCAGCTCTTGCCACATTTGTGTAGGCAGTCCAGTAGCTCTTACAAGATACCAAGCTTTTTTCACTATGCTTGGTTTAAAAAGGAAAAGAAAAAAGACTGAATCTTGTATAACGAGTGATGAGTTTTTTGCTGTTTTTGTGTAACAGGATATAGTTGGATTATTATCTGCATTCTTGAATGACTAAGTTGAGATAGGCAAAATTTCATCATTTGATATGAAATGTTTTGCTCCTGTTGTATAAAAAATTCAGGGAAAGTATGTTTAGCTTCTTAAAGATCATACAGCTGATGGTTTTCTTATAAGGAACTATAAGATTTTGGAGAAGATTGTCCAAACAAAAACAAACCAATTTAAAAGCTGATAACCCAACGAAGAACTGTTACAAAAGCAGCTGCTTTTTTCGTTTTTAGCAATATTCAGCAATTATTAAGAAATATTGTTTTAGGTAAAAGAGAAAATATGTCATATGATCATTAAATTAAAGGAAAGGAGAAATGAAAATTGTTTTATTTTAGTATTAAATCATTTTTCATTGTTCTTCCATAAAAATTTAAATAATTTGGTAATTTAAATTCACAGTTCATATCTGTTTTATTTCTGCTATTATTAACGTCATCCACCAGGTGAATTTTCAGATTTTCCTGCTATATAATGACTTATTCACTTAAAGTGTTATGATTGCTGATTTTGTTTTTAATGATTACTGAAACTTTATAACATTTCATAAAAGCAGCTTATTTGCTACGATCATTTAAATGTTCGACAATGTGTTCAGAATGACGTATGCAAAAAAAAAAAAAAAAACTTATAGCACAAGATTAAACTTCAGTTTCATGCATTTTTATCATTTTTAGCTTCATAAAATCAAAATCATTGTGTATGTTCATAATGCAAAGTGTGATATATTCATTGTTCATTTGTTTTTTTCTAAAAATACTTTTCACTTAAACTATTGGTAAGTATCAAAAGCATTTTCAAATTCAATATTTTTTAATTAAATTTTGAAATTTTATTATATGCAAAATTTAAATCTTAAAAAGTAACATTTATACTGTTATTTTATTAAAAGTAATTGAAATCAGAATGTCATAAAATTATTATTTTTGGTGTATTCATATTAATTGGTGTAAATTAAATACAATCCTTGAATTTTTATACTGTTTCTATTGATATACAAATTTTTTGTCTCTGTGTATATTATTTCATATAAAACATCTATTATTTTTATTTCCTAATATATATATGGACAATTCTCATTTTATATATACATTTCTGCATTTTGAAAATATTCTCATATATATTTATTGGAGATAAAATCTCACATATTTTATGCATCTAAAACATGCACTTGTAAAAGCCTCATCATCTGCTTTCCTTTTTGATTCACTACTAATCAGAAAATTCAAAAATAATGTTGTGTGCTGTTGTATAAAAATATAAATAATTTGATAAGTAGAGGTTTACCTCTGAAATTATTCTATTGTAAATTGTATAATAATTGGCAAATTTATTGAAGTTCCTATTAATTGATAATTATATAAAAATAATTCATTAATTATAATATTTATGAGTCCATTTATTCTTCAAAAAATTTGTTCATCTCCCTCAGGTATATGAAGCACTCTGAACCTTTCTGCAAGAATCTGCTGATCTTTAAAGATGCAGTACTTGTGAAATTAATGTGAAATTTTTCGCATTAATAACCAGTTATAATAACTTTTTACTAAGCTTAACTTTAAATGCTGAAATTAAAATTTGATTTTAGTTTCGTTTATATATATATATGTGTGTATATATATATAATCAGAATATATATATATGATATTTACACACACATGTGTAAAGAGGGAGTGACATAAAGTGTCATGCTGAAAGCTACAATTTTATATAAATATCTTCTTATCTTTCTCTTTTTGTTGATGTTTCCTAGTTACAATTAAAGTCTCAATTTCATCATCTTTAATGTGTGAAAAGTCTGTGTGAGATTTAAGGAAAAAAAAGGAGATTCTGAACATATAAAAAATTAAAGAACTTTTAAATATATCATGAAGACTCTTGAAATCGTTTGATTGCTTGTAATTTCTGTGTAAGCTGTTTTTCCTAAATTTTAAATTATTTTGCTTTTAAAATGTGCCATCTTAGTTTAATCTCAAACAGCAACTTTTATTTTAGTGAAACTGTTTTTGTTGTACAGTCGTCTTTTTTATTCAAATTGTTTGTGTTTCATGAAACAATGATACAAACAGTGAAAAAGAAAGTATCCTGTGTTTCCATTATGTATAAGGTTGTTTAATTACAATTACATAATTGTTGTGATATGTTATATGATGTATGTTTAGCCAGTAATTGTAATTTAATTTAAATTTAAGCAAGCTTTTGTAATATTGGTAATTTTTTTTTATTATTATTATTATTTCACTTTCTGTCCTCCCCCACCACAGCATTTCAGTTTGAGGTATGTTGTGAACTTCTAAACACCCTTTCTGATTTAAATTCATATATTCATTCTGAAATAGTCATGTTGATTTGTAATATATTAGAATGTTATATGTCTGAATAAAGTATAAGTTCTTCCAAACTATCAAAGAAAATTAATATGTTAATGAATACAGTTAAATGTAAAAATATTTCTGTTTATGTAGTTTTTAATGGAGTACATAATTAAGAAGGCGACTGTGCTCAATTCAGTTTTTTCTCCACTTGTATTATAACTTTTTTTTTAAAGTGTAAAATTCGTAGTTTTCATTGTGGAGTGAAATCTGTATGAACTCATATGTGTGTTTAATAAACTGTTAAATGGAGTTATTAAACATGCTCTGTCTTGTCTAATGCTTGCATCCTTGTTGTACTTATAATGCTTGCAAGTAGAATGTAGAGCTTTTGGAATTTTCAGGAAATATGTTTAAGCTTTATATTATATTTAAATGGAAATAATTAAAGATTGCAACTACAATTTATCATTCTACATCCGTGTGAACAGATATTTAAGCCTTTTTGTAATGAAATGTAAAAAAGCCTATATGTGATCATGTAGAAGTTTAGGAACTAATCACAGTTTGTTGGTTCTAAGCCTTATGTAACCAAACTAGTTGCTGTGACTGTTAAGTGAATGAAAAATATGCTGACAAAAATATGTTATTTTCCTTGTTTATTACTAATTTTGCAGACATATATATTTAAAGCTGCAGTAGTTACTTCTGAGATACTATTAACCACAAAATATACTTTGTAAATTATAACTATCTTTTCATAAAGCATGAAACTTAATTCCATTGATTTATTTTAAATGTCTTTTAAACATGTGCCTAAAACAAAAATTAAAGAAGTATTTCATATTAAAATAAATGCTAATATTGTTAAAAATAAGCTAAGTTCCTTAAAGATAAGACTATTTCCATTTTGAATTATAACTATGCATGTATTTGATATGCATTCATCATGAAATGACAAAATTTATTGTAAAAACAAATTACTGACATTCTTGTTATAAATTGGTGGATAATATCTATCTCAGCAAATTTATTTTAATCTCTTAAATAGTTTAGCATAAATAACATTCCAGTTTCTTTATGTACAATTGATGTTTATTTTGGAAGGGGACCAAAGATTTATTTTTCATTTAAATTTAAGTCTTTCTTATATTTAGCAGCTATTTAGTGTTTCCCTAAAAATTATTTTGGTCAGGCTGTGCTGAATCTAAATAATGCATATAAAAAACTGGTCAATTTTTTAAAACAGAGATAAAATGCATTTTTTTTTTCAATTATGAACTTCAGAAGTTTGGAATTTTATGAAATTTGTTGATTATTGATGTTTATTCATTTGTATATATTTTGCACTGTGGTATGTGTGGTACCTTGCATTAATTGAACTTATTCCATAATTTATTTTTGTAGTGAAGTATTTGATATGCAGTTAGCATGCAAATTATTTTGGAAAGTAAAAGTTAATGATGAGGATGTTGTTCATAAAATATTACTTATTTTTTCCTCTTCTGTATATAAGAGTGTAAATGATATTCTCAATTTTCCCATGCACAATGTCTTTAAATGAGTACACAGAGATTGTTTTTTTAGAAATTTGCTAAAGTGCTGTGGATTTACATTAGTAGCTGTGTAAGTAGAAATCTTAATTTGATTTGAATATTCATGAGTCAAGCAATAGTCTTGCTTATAATTAATTAGGATTAAATTGTTGGTAAAATTAAAATATAGATATATCAGTAAGAAGATGAAGCATTAACATGTATATTCAGGTGTGTGGAAAATTTCTAAAAACAACTGCATTTTATCATGACTGAGGAGAATGCTAAGATAGCGTAGAAAACATCATTTGATAGCTGTATTTTCTAAAAGAAAATAATTGCATGGCTTATGAACAAAATAAACTCATAAAACTGCAAATAGAAATGCACACACCATTTAATAAACAAATTAAAAATGGATCATATCTAAATAAACTTAATAGCAATACTACATATGTCTATCAGTTACTATATATGTTGTCACTATATGTGTCTGTCTGTGTTACATAAATTTATGTTTAAGATATTAAAATAAGTATAAGTCATAATGAAAAAAATTCTTAAAAAATATGTGCTATACCATCCGTGCATATTTTATGTTATGAATTTTTTATTCAGAATTATGTGATAGTACCATAATCTGAAATCTTCTAATCATTCTTCTAAATGCAATCTCTGTGCATGGTGATTTTATTATAATTTTATTTTTATTTATTAAATTCCCACAAATTATTTTTGTGCTAAAATTATACAGCATTGCTGGCAGCTATTATTATAAAACAAAAAAAAAAAAAAAGCCTTTCATTGTGTAGCTCTTAGGGTAGGTTTATTTATATGTGTGTATGTTAGTATGCAGCTTGTTTTTTGTTTTTATTATAAACTTTTGCTTAAAATTGTTCATTCTGAATCATTACCAGTAATTCAGTATTGCATCATTATTTCAACAAGTTTACATTTTTTGGAGAATTTAATGATGTAATTGAAGAGATGTGTTGTATATTGAAAATATCATTTTCCATCTCCGTAGACTCTGGTTCATCAGCGTACACTTCATGTCATGTGATACTTGATTCATTTTTAGTTCAATTTTGTCATATTAACAAAGAAACCTTAAATAGAGGAAAAAAGATTTTGAAAAGTGCAATTTTTTAATATTTGTGATAATGTTATGCAGTGCGTTTCATAAATTCTGCACAGCTTAATACCTTTTGTACAAATTTTTGTAGACTCATGTTTGCTGTGTAAGGAATCAAAAAAGGTTGTTTTTTGAAATATTACTCTTTTAGTTCCTTAATGCCTTTTAATAAAAAATTTACACAGTATTAAAGAAATTTTTTAATTTTTTATGTGTGATCTGCTAGAAAAGTTCTAATATGTAAATTCTTCATTACCTTCTAAAGATCTTTCAACAGTTTGGTTCTGGAATGTGCAAGGTTGGCCTGAAGAAATTTTCAGTATTATAGAATTTATGAACATCAGTTTCAGGGATTATATAAAAATTGAATTCTATTTGGTTGTTATACCATAAACATTTTAATAAAGAATACTTTGAGCATTTGACCCTATTATGATGGTTTCCTATCCACCTAATTTAAAAGTTCACTTTTTATAGATATGCATAAAAATTTTGCATATTTTTGCTGCAAATTGTTCCATAACCAGAATTAGAGCATAGGCTGAAAATCATAGCTCGTTTGATTCCTTTCTGAAATTGCAATCATTGTCAGAATATACTTAGATGTGCAGTCTTTTTGAAATGCCTTGTATAGATGTTGCCGTAAATCTTTTTGATATCTATACTCATGTCAAGAAGTGTACTGTGATTATACATGTCTATGAAAATGCAAGATGAATTTTCCCATCACTAGGAACTGTGCAAACATTGTATATAGTTTTTGTTTCATGTTGCATAAAGTTGAAGCCTATAATATTTGTGACTGCCGTAGTTGTGTGTGGTTTGTTTGTTTCAGAAAATGTGTATAAAATTTAATAGATTCATATTGCAGTCTGAAAACGTCCATCGCTTTTCATTCTTATTTTTAATATAGTTGCTTAATTTCTTTTATTATCTGTGACAACAATTAGTCGTATGCACTGTTAGACGGGAAATGATTAAAAGAAAAAGTTTGTAAGATCTGTTCACCAGCAGCCATATGTTCACTATAAAAAAAAAATACATGCTCTAAACTCAGCTCAAGTTTAGAGCATGTATTTTTTTTTTTTTTTTTTTTTTTTTTTTCATTCCGTCTGTGTTCAGCACATGATCTATGTAGTAATAACTTTATTTGGATAACTTTCAAATAAAAAACAACTGTCCCTTTATGCATTCTGTGTCTTATTTCAGAAGTTTTGAGCTGACTGATGATCATGCTTTTTGGTAAGAAATGGAAGATCAGTAAAAGAACTGTAAATAGTCCAATTCAGTTATTTTTAAAATACAGTAAGACCCCGCTTAACGCTGTTTCGTTTAGCGCTGTTTCGGTTTAGCGCTCTTTTATTTCAACCCGGGGATTCTCCGAAATTGTGCGCAGCACTAGGTTTCCAAATAACATATTCGAAACAGTGTAGTTGTGTTTCTTGCTTGCGGTGTTATACGCATTATTTTGATCATTTGAAACATTTGTTGACATTATTGTAAGTTTAAAATTTGTATAATACTATAACGATTAATACAGTGACAAATATTATGATCTTTTAGTTTTTGTCATGGGTGATAATAAAAAACACGAAAAGAAAAGCAACCAAGAAAAAGCATTTCACTGGAAACTCAAATGCAAGTGATTAGAAGATTAGATTCTGGTGAACGTCAATCTCAAATTAGTGCTGCATTGATTTTGGCAACTTCAACAATAAGGACAATTCTTAAGAATAAAGAAAAAATACTGTCATCAGCAACTGCAACTACATCAAGCTCTGCAACTAGAATTACCCGTTCTAGAAATAACATTATAGAGGAAATGGAAAAACGACTGTCTATACGGATTGACGACAAAATTGAACGCAATATGCCATTAAGCCAATCTATCATAATGCCTTCTTGACAAAAAGGCAGAAAATTGGAAACCCAGAATAGACTGAATGATCTGACTGAGAATTTTATTTGTTTTTAAAAGTATATGTGTTTATATTGTTTTTATTTTTGTAAGAAATAAATGTTTGATTTTATTTTATTAAAAAAAAACATTATTAAATTTAATGCCTAACCATTTTTTATCCGTCTTCCCCTAACCCCATTATTTACATGTTAAGATAGCCTCGCTTAGCGCTGTTTCTTATTACGCTCTACTTTGATGGAACGTATCCCCCGCGTTAAGCGGGGTCTTACTGTATATAACTTTTTTAATAAATGATTTTTATATTTTGAAATGTACTAAAAGTATTGATTAGTTTTATGATGTTAGTGATATTGTTAAACATTAGCCTAGAGGTGGAAATGGTTAACTCAATTGTTGTCTTAAACATGTCTTTTTTTTTTTTTTTTTTTTTTTTTTTTTTTTTTTAATAAATAAATACAATATTTAATACTAAATATTTTGTAAAAAGATACTACAAGACATAAAAAGAAAACACAGCAGATTTTTATTTCTTGTTCAGTATTAAGCATAAAGAATTATAAAGTATTTCTTCCACCTTCCTTCATGGTGTAGTGGTTCTGGATGCTGGGCCGGTGTTCCAGAGGTCCATGGTTCGATTCCCGGCGAAGGCGTTTGCTCATTCATTTTTCATCTTGCCTGCTTCCAAAAAATATACCTAATGTCTCTACAGTGGCGCCCAAATTAAAAGGGAGTTAGATGATGATTCTCCTTACCCAGAGTCCCCTAAAAACCCCAGTCGCCCTTTAAAAGGGGGAGTATATAAGTTATTTCTCCCGCCTTCCTAGCGTGCCTTCGTGGTGTAGTGATTCCGCACCCTGGATCCGTATTCCAGAGGTCCGTGGTTCGATTCCCGGCAAAGGCGTTTGCTCATTTTTCATCTTGCCTGCTTCCAAAAAATATATCTAATGTCTCTACAGACTGACAGTTTTAGGATAACAATTAAAAATAAATTATTTCTGCCACTAGCCTTAAAACTTAAGTTAGGAATATTCATATTCGTAACTATAGTCAAGCATGAGACTAAGAAAAATAATAACACTTTTTAGTACATTTCACAGTAAAAAAATAAAATTTTTGTATAGCAGTTATTTGTTAAGATCTTAATATCAGGGTATCTTTTAATCAGTCACTCAAAATTTGTTTTGCCAGTTTTGAATGTACCTAACAAATTAGTTGATGATGATTAGTTGATGAACTGATCGGTACAAAATACTCATGGATAGAAAGTAAACAAGAAAAATAGGAAAATTATATCCTTAATCCGATCATGGCAACCATCTTTCTTAATAGATTACCTAGGAAGTAACCAGTTTTTCTAAAAACATAAGTGCCCGTCCTGAATATGATCTCCTTTAAGATGACCACTTTCATGGACATTCAGAATGATCTGAAGCAGTTCATGGTCGTCTTAGAGAGGATTTGCTCTTAACCAGATCATAAATGCATGTATGTAGCGGATATCATATGTCAAAGCCGACCACTTTTCACAGAAGAGAAGTGTCATCTTGGAGAAGGTTCATAATATTTATTGGCAGGTAGTGGTCTAGCTTTACAGTCCTCACCAGGTTTTAAAGCTTGTTTAAATGTTCACTTTGAATGCTTGTTAGCAGTCTGATGAGAAGCATTGGTTAATAACGAATGCGCAGTCAGCACTCTAAAGTTATATTAAAATTATATATAAGGACTAAAAGTGCCCTTTTCAAATATTTTATAACATTTAATAGAGAAAATGTACTTTAAAGCTATGCTACAGTTGATCCTTTTGTGTCGACAACTTGCGAAAATAGCCAGTATTTTTGTGAGCATATGAATATTGTCGATGAGTATCTTACTCTGTCTGAATGTATGCAATCCTTATTTTCTAAGCAATTTTTCAGTGACTGAGATAATTTTAGCTGCAAAACGCTGCAATTTTTTGTGTGATCAAAATATTCCATAATTAATTATCTGCCTAAGATGAAAAATACATTTGTCGAGCATTTTCTAATGCAAGCAAACTGCATTTTACTCATGTTGCAAGAAATCATAATTCCCATGTATCCAGCCCATCTGAAAAAAAAATTGGACATCTGTTTAACTATCAGTGAGTTTATCAGCTCTGCCACAGTGGGCTCTGAAATTTCTTTTAGGATGCTCTTTATTGATTCACTATAGAACCAAAATAACTTGTTGGTTGTCTCTCTGTATCTAATAAACAGTAAATATATTGAATCCTGATATTTCTGACAAACTGAAATTCGAATACAAAACGTTTCTTGGATTTTTATATCAATTTGACCAAAAGAAATCAAATGCAAATTTTTAATAATACTATTCTATTAATTCAGTAGAAATTTCCATTTCTGTATATGTAGAGCAAGGCCACATGTATTTTATGTGTTCATATGCGAAATATACATAAAATGTTCTTTTAAAATATTCTAATCTGTGAAAAGCAAGTGAACTTAGAAAGTACTTGAATTTTTAAAAATACAGTGAACGTTCTGTAAGAGACCAAATATGATTCCAGATGATTACGGTCTTTTGTGGAGGTGGTCTCCATAGAGAAGTTGTGTCTAATACTGATATTTAGTTGAGTAGGTGTTATGCGAACTGCATATTAATATACACAGAGCAAAATTCCACTTATCGAGACACAAATCATCAGTGGTAAAATTCAGATCAATTACTTGCTCTTATTTTGTAGGAAAAATGTTATGAAATAGTAAATAAGATTTTGTAAAGAGACCATCCGCGATTTTAGATGGTTTTGATTTCCTGTGATGGTGACTGCTTTAGAGAGAGCATATTCAATACCAGTGTCCAATATTTTCAGCTACACTGATGACTTTCAGATGTGATTATCTTACAGAAGTGGCCTCTACGAGGAGGATTACTATATGTGATAAAATATAATCAAAAGGAATTTTATTAAGTAAAAATTATTTTAGACTAATCACAGGGGGAAAAAACTGCCGGAAAAGCACTTTATAGGTGTTCTGAGAAATACTAGTGCAGTGGTTCTCAAACTGTGCTCCGCAGCCAAGGGTGCAGCGAAATCTTGTAAAAGCTTCATAATCAATTGAACCAAGACATTTGGCCTAACTAAACGCAAACTCTGATGTGTACACCACATGACTTCCTTGTGCGGAATATTAAATTATATGCATTTTCTCTTGCATTGTATTTAAACTTATTGGATTGAATTAAATCTACTTCATCGATAGCGAATAAACCACAATAGAATAAATGCACTCTTTAAAATTCCTTTATTTGTTTACCATCGCAACACTCTGGCGCTAGGTTTACTTAAGGGGACATATGACATAAAATTTTACAAATTTTCAAATTTGTGCTAAAAAAATTAAGTAGACTGAGACGAATCCAATAATATATAATTTATGCATGTTTCGAAATTTTAAAAGACCGAAATCTTATATCAAAAAGTGTAAACAAGCACTAGCAAGCCCACCTGCCACCAGTTTAAAAGGGACAGATGTTTGATGTGGCCACAATAAAGCTATATTAGCTGGTAAAAAGTATGTTTATAAAAATTTTTTTCAGGACCTGTTTTATAAGCTGTTAAAAGTGTGTTTAGAAGTCTCTTGATACAAAAAACTACTATAAATTCCATTTATGGAAGAACTTAGAACTTGAATGAAAGTTTTAATAATAAATTGCATCCGGACCACGCATACCGAAAACTGTTTTTGTGAGTGTCATTACTTTAAAATTAGGTTTGTAAGATGCGATAATATGATTTAATGCTGGTGTACAAAGCTGCGTTAAAGTAATGGAATACAACCAGGATTTTATATGGTCTAAATAATTATTATTAAGTCTTTGCAAAGAATAGATTGGGGTAGAATTCGCAAGGCCTATCTCCCTCACCAAAAGCTTTCTGAAATGGCCAGAAAGAAACATGAATGAATAAAACAGAAACAGCTTGATGTAGAAATGTTAATTTAAGATGCATATGGTGCAAGAAAATATTAAAATATTTTTTATAAATTATCAGTGTTTAAATGGTTTTTTCAGTTTTTCTCAAAATGTGTTTTTTAACTTTCGGTACATTTTTCTTGAAAGCTCTTCAGCCTGGAAGGTTTAAATTTTCCACAATTTCTTTGAAAATATGCAGGATATAAAATTTACGATCATTAGATTTGAACATAATAAAAATTGAATAACATTTTTCTATGATTTTCAAAATATTTTACCAATTTATTTTTAATATTTTTTATTTTTAAG